GGGCTGGAATGTGTGGAATCGATGGTTATTTTCGCTCAGGAACCTTTTCAGTGTTGAGTAAGTATCCTTGTCTGGAGTCATGACGCAAATAGTGTTGTTAGTGCTTGCCTGACGTAGGTCACTTCAAAATCCCCGCCTAAGAAGCGGAAAATGTCTTTGGAGAGGCCCCTGATGCTGGATACGTCCGGGATAAAAATGGGGGTGTCATAGGATAAATTCAGGGTTTGAGTTTTGTTTGGTTTTTATTTAGAAGGAGCAGCAACGGTGCCGCTCCAACATTTAGATGAAGCAGCTGAGGTGCCGCTCCAACGATCAAAATGTCTTTGTTCTTTTACAATATTTCTTAAGTCTAAGTAAGGCTAAGTCTCGTAGCTGCGCTGCTCGCAGGCGGCGGCAGAGAGACGAATATGTACTTATATATAAAGGAATATAATAATATACGTTGTTATGCGCTCTCAAGTGGAGGCGCGAGGGGTATGCACATGCTGACCGTTTGTTACGATTATGCTGACACTAGCACTTTCTGTGTGCGGGCTAAGCCAGAACGATCGGTTCATATTTCGGCCACTTAGGGTTTATGATCGGGACTTTGGATTATGTAAACACTGCAACAAAGTGTTACAGTGCGCACCCTTTAAGTACTCTCGGTACAGTGGGTATTCAATATATGTGCATACAACAGGGGGCGGTTTGATGATTTTCGCCGTTTTTTCCGCGGATCGCTGGGTCTTCTTGTCATCTTTTTTCTTCATACCGTCAACCTCCATGTCGCTGTCATGATCTTTATCGTCTAAATAAGATAGAATTGCATAATAGTAATTTTTAATATTAGCTTTAAATGCAGCTCTGGCTGCTTCGCGGGTGGTTGGTTCGTCTTCCATTATGGGTTTTTTAGCAGACTTCCGCTTCATTTCTCCATGCTCGGAGTCTTCATTTTTTCCAAACACCAAACAAATATAAAACCACTCTTATTTACATAGTCTTGCGGCCAATCTCGGGCAAAACCAACATAATGGGCTGGCAAGACGCCCCAGTTCAATCAAAATCAAGCCGCCTTCGAAAGAAAAGGCCGATTCTAATTTTCATAAAATTTAAAATCTTTGTAAACACTAACTAATCTTATTTTTTGGGATCTCCTACAGAACTCCTAACGTGGAAATCCAGCTACTTATGTAGATGGAAGAATACAAAGAGCTTTATTTTAAAAATTTACATTCCCGCTTGGTCTATGCTATATGTGGAGTCCCTCAAGGACGTTATATTAGCTCGTTACTGTGTTCTCTTTTTTTTATGAATGACTTTCCCCCTGCTGTAACGAACTCGCTAGCACTTGTGTACGCAGTTAATCTTTGTCTTTAATACAAATCCATTTCTGCCCAATTCAGACTTAAATCCGATCTCGTCAATTTTACTTAATGAATCAAAATTAATACTTATGTCTTTTTGTCGTTTTAGTCCCACCAAGCTAGGTATTTTCTCTATGGGATTGCCTTAGATTGCCTGTTGTACTAAAAACTCAAATTTGCCGACCATATTTCTACAATAGTTAATAAGGCTAAAGATGTGCTTGGTTTTATTAAAAGATGACCAAAAGAATTTAACGACCCTTATAATACAAACAATTTATTTTTTTCTTTGGTGCGTCCGATACTGGAGTTGGTTAATTTATCTGAAGTTCCCAATCAAGACTGCATAGAATCCGTAAAAAAGAACTTTACATTTGCTGTTAGAGGTCTTATTTGCGATGCAAATCTTCACCTTCCTTGGTATCATAGCAGACTCTTACTAATAAACTTACCTCCCTTTACAATTCGTAGAACAATAAAGAACAACAAAGGATGTACCCATTGTTGTATCGGTGTCTACGCTGAAAGCTCTGTCCCCTAAAAAAACTGCATGCACATTGGGGAGGCCGTCGATCTACTACAGTGACTTTGGCCATAGCCGTTTCCATTTGATTGTTGGCCATCCTTTGCTCTTCTGGGCAGTTGAATTAAGGGTGTACGTGTGAGGTTGAAAAAATCGATTTTTTTTATTTTCACATATTTTGAAAGTATTGTTTATTGAGAATGTACTGTTGAAGTTTCAAATAAAAATATCAAATAGTGACAGACCTAGAGCCCATAATCGACCGCCAACACCGAATAGTATGAGTTCCTCGATAGCGTTTAAGCTTTAAACGCGTTTTTCTCGGAACGACATTTTTGCGTGCGGCGCAGGTGATTCACAAAATTCTATGGTACCGATCTAGCTGAAATTTGGATATGTTGTTCTAAAAATAAACACTTTTGTCCCGCACTAGAATCAATTATTTTTAATAATAACTTTTTTATTTTTCATTAAATTTTTTTTGTGAGTTCGCTATTTTGTTGTTTATTGAAAAAATATTTCATTCTAGTTCGGGACAGAGTCATTAGCTTACATAACAATAATCTATTCTAATTTTACTGGCGACTGGCGCATGAGGTTACTCAAAAACTATAAATCCAATCGGTTCCAAATCTTAACACGTTATTCTATAGATATATAGCTCTCGTATGAACTAGGATAAATCAAATCGGTGAAGATCTTCTTTACTTTTCAACTCGATTTGTGGCTGAAAAAAATGGAAATTAAAAAAAAAAAATTTCAAAGGTCCGCCATTTTGTTAATTTTTGAGCGAAGTTAATAATCCTAGTTCATACGAGAGCCAAACATGTACTTTTTCTAATCCCGTTGGAATTTTTGGATTCTGATGTTCCAGTGAGCGGAAATCACATGCGCCGCCGAAAAGAAGGGCTTTTCTTTGATCACAAAAAACAACAACAAAAACAAAACAAAAAAAAATTCTGTGAAATGATTTTCTTCCTTTTTGTGTCTTAATATATGTAAGCACAGTTACAACCCTAACAAATAATTTATGTTCATTTGCCAGCCCATTGAAAATCGTCAAAATTTAAAATCGAGAATGGGGGGGGTCCCCTTAAATAACCTCTAAAACAGTGGTGGGCAAACTCTCATTTTACATAGCACGCGAGTATAGGGTAGGAAATTCTACCGCAGCGATGCCGGCACACTGACAGTGTGAGCACTCTCAAATTTTTTTTAGAAGCTCTCTCATTTGCTCTCATTTTGATTCATTTGACAGCTCAAACTAAAAATAAAAATTTTTCCACTGAGAAAAATTTTTTCAGAAATTGGATTGGAAAAACTTTCCTTCACGGAGAATATAGATAGGGCAGCGTAGTTTTTTATTTTTTTAAGAAATGTTGCTAGCAAAGCTTTTTTTTAAATAAAATACTCAATTTTAGTGCCCATTCCAACTTTTGAATTAACGAAAAATGAAATAAAAAAATAGGTTTTTTCGCTCAGTGAATTCTCTGCTCTCATTGTTTTTCTCTGCTACGCATACACTTAAATTTTAAACATGTGTTAGTTTTGCCCCCCACTGCTCTAAAAGTAGGCCGGAACATCACTCTACATCAGAGGTCGGCACCCCAATACATTGATATGATTTTACCGCATTAGTGTTAGTAACGTATAGCAGAAAGTAGGCTTTGAGCATGACGTTTCACACATTTATACTGTGTGTGTGTGGCAGAGCTCGGGCAGAGAAATTTCCTATGCCCCGAGGCCGTGCCGACCTCTGCTCTACATCCTTAAATAACTTATCCTTATTCGGAAGGTTGAGGTAAAAACTATGCGAAAACTATGGTACTGCTACACTTCCTGGTTTATTGTGCCATTTCGCAGTGATTATCGCAGTGTTCTACATCTTCTTTTCCCTCCACTTTATGTATTCGGCCAGTATTCCTGGCGAAATCAAAGGAGCTGTACGCCCGGTTCGGCGTTACGGTGCTGGGGCTTTTTGTAATCTTTGGCATTTGCTCTTTATCCTCTCACTTATTTTTCCTGTGGTTTTACTTCTGATTCCCCGCTCAAGAGGATTATAATTTGGTGCTGCTCATCGTTGCTTATGCATTTAAAAAAAAAAGTTTTTCCCATATAATTTAACTAACCTTTAAAGTTTAAACATTAACGGTATGGATTCTCAGAACAAATTTTTGTTCCATACTTTTGCGCTTGGCAAAAAAAGAACAGCAGCCTCCTACTGCTTCGACGTCACTACTACCGATTCAGTAAGGAAACAGTCTAAAAAGTCCATAACAGTCTATAACTCCTAAAAATTATCCGATTTGGCTGCAGTTTGATTTGTAGGTTTAGCCATTGGAACAGTTTGGCATCAAATCCTTTTAAAAAAACATTAACTGGCGCTAACACCAGACTTCTTTTTTGGGGGCGAGAGTGGGCGTGGCAACATTTTGACAAAAATCTGATATGCGCGTATACAAAAAAAGTCTAAGTTCCAAATCTGATAGTTGTATCTCTTATAGTCTTCGAGATCCACGCGTTCAAAATTTTAGCCCGCTTGTATTTGAAATGGTATTCCTCTAAAAATCAGCCGATTTAATTTAATATTTTTTTTTTTTTTATATATATTAACTGTAGAAATAATTTGGCATCAAAAGTAGTTTGGCCGTTTGGCCGATTTTTAAAAATCGTCCAATTTGAACGAAATTAGCTTTTCGGATATAACTATAGAAATAAGTTTGGCATCAAAAGTTCTTCAAAAAATCTTTCTGTACTGGAAATTCCTGTGCTACAGGAATTAGCGATTTATGGGGGCGGAATTACTACGTGAACTACGTGAGCATTATAGGGGTCTCCAGGCGACATCCTATAGCTCTACCTCCTATAGTCTATGAGATCTGTCATACGGACAGAAGGACAAACGGACGGAGACGAACATAGCTATATCGACTCGGCTGTTGATGCTGATCAAATATATATGTATATGCGGTCGGAGATGATTTCATCACTGTGTTACATACATTCACAAGACTACAAAATGCCCTTATACTCTACGAGTACAAAAAATGTGATGCAGATTTAATTATTTTAATGTGATATTCAGTCCCCCTTAAAAGATATTTTACTGATATTATATCTCTTCCTTCTAGCGGAAACCATGTTACTTCTTACGGACTTGTGTCGTTGCCACCCACGCCGCAAAGTAACCAAGAACGAATTCAATTAACTATTTCCTGCCCTGATGGTCTTGCCCACGGCTTGAGCGAACAAAATATAAGACTTTATCAGATAGTACAAGAACATAAAGTATATTTTAAGCGTCCTTAACTAATATTTTTAAAGTAAACCAAAAATTATTTGCAGTTACGCGAGGAAACTCTTCTACGAGAAATACATAGCATGCGATTGGCTTTGTTGGAAAAAGGTTGTCCCAGCTGTAATAGTATCGTTTCGGCTAATATGGAACATGTAAATATACCAATTTCTACTAAAGTGTAAAACTTGCTACTTCGTCGAAAAGCAGCTTTAAATTGTTATAAACATATAGCTGCGATATAACTGAACGATCTGAAATGGTATTTGGCAGAAATATCAACTTTGGTATTTTTCAAGATAGAAGCTTGGGACTTTTTTTTAGCTTTATTGTAATAAAGTGATTATATTATGATATTCTAATAAGGATCGAGTTACTATATCCGATGTTTCCGGTTTTAACTGCAAGGGTATATCAACTTCGGCCTCGCACGAAGTTAGCTTTCCTTTCTTTTTTTTTTTTTTTTGTTTTGTAATTTTGTTCTTTAATTTAGTGTGGTACCTACACATTTAAGGTTGTAGTCTCATGTGTGAGGTTGAAAAAATCTATTTTTTTTTTGTCACATATTTTGAAAGTACTGTTTATTAAGAATGTACTGTTAATGTTTCAAATAAAAATATCAAATAATGACAGCGATACAGCCCATAATCGAGAGCGCGCCTACACCGAAAAGTATGAGTTTCTCGGTAGCGTCTAAACTTTAAACGCGTTTTTCTCGGAACGACATTTTTGTGTGCGGCGCAGGTGATTCACAAAATTCTATGGTACCGATCTAGCTGAAATTTGGATATGTTGTTTTAAAAAGTAACACCTCTGTCCCGTACTAGAATCATTTATTTTTAATGATTAGTTTTTTTTTATCATTAATTTAAGATAAATTTTTTAATTTTTTCTTTGGGAGTTCGCCATTTTGTTGTTTATTGATGAAAATATTTCATTCTAGTACGGGACAGAGCCCTCAGCTTACAAAACAATAATATATTCTAATTTTTTGTTTTGGATGACTCTAGCAGTCGAAATCACCTGCGCCAGGGACCTACCTTTTTTATACCCTTGCAGAGGGTATTATAATTTTGTCCAAAAGTGTGCAACGCAGTGAAGGAGACATCTCCGACCCTATAAAGTATATAAATTCTTGATCAGGATCACCTCCTGAGTTGATATGAGCATGTCCGTCTGTCTGTCCGTTTCTACGCGAACTAGTCTCTCAGTTTTAAAGCTATCGTCTTGAAACTTTGCGCACACCCTTCTTTCTTTTGCACGCAGTATATAAGTCGGAACGGCCCGGATCGGCCGACTATATCCTGTAGCTGCTATATAACTGAACGATCGGAAATGACCCAACTTTCGTGTTTTTAAAGATAGAAAGGTGGAATTTAGTACAGATTCTATTTTTGGTCAGTTGATCCAACCTACTAAATTTCATTAGGATCGGCCGACTATATCCTATAGCTGCCATATAACTGAACGATCGGAAATGACCCAACTTTTGTGTTTTTGAAGATAGAAGCTTGGGACATTTTTAGGTTTGGTTTTTGTATTATAATAAATTGGGTTATATTGTCATATTCTCATAAGGATCGGCCAACTATATCCGATGTTTGCGATATATATCCGGTTTAAACTGCAAGGGTATATAAACTTCGGCTCCGCCGTTAGTTAGCTTTCCTTTCTTGTTTTTTATATGCATACTTTGGCATGCTATAAAGTGAATTAAACTACACAAGAATAAATTAAAAAAAATGTTTTCAAATAGTTTATGATGCCTATAAAAACATATTTGAAAATTGAAACAACCGCATTATTTTTTATTCCAAAAAATTTTTTTTGAAATAACCTCTAAAAAGTAGGCCGGAACATGAGACTACATCCTTAAAAAAATGATATGTAAAAAAAAAAATGTGTCTATTACACGTTCTGCATAATTCATTATATCAAATTGATCAAATTTGATCAATTGATCAATATTCTAGATGTGCTGCAGAAACTGTGCGTGATGGAACATATTTTTAGTTTTGGACTTTGGTTCAGGGAAATCCAAAGGTTATGGAGCAAATACGAGGAGTAAAAAAAAATTGTATTTTGTCGGCCTCTGTTATTTGTCAAACAAAATTAATTTAACATTTTTGATTTACATAAAGTTCGTGATATAAATCTGGAAAATTCAATTTTCTAATCATTTAACCATTATTTAGGAAAATGGATCAGATATCGTTGAAAACGCTTCAACTTGTTCCTGGGAAGCCGTAGAAGAGCGTTGTGGTCCTTCGTCATTGGTCCCGACTTCGAACCAAGAAAAAAAGGCATCCAGTGTCCTTTGGGTACCAGATCATGCTGTTTCACGTTGCTCCAGTTGTCAAACTGAGTTCTGGCTTGGAAGAAGAAGACATCATTGTCGGTGCGCATTAAAAAATATTTATTTGTTTACTATTTTAAAATAATTTAACGATTTCTTGCTAAATTATATCACTAACCATACAGCATATAGACTACCCATTTCATACAAGGGAAATGGACGCAAAAATTTCTTACGACAAGCCCCAGCAGGCCCAAGAAAGAGATGTTACTCTTTTACTTACGCTCATCGTTCGTTCATCTTACGCTCATATTCTCATTGGATGTTTTCTGTTTCTCATTCTCTGAAAGAAGCGCGATGAAGAATGTTGGTCTGCGCTTGGATTGATCTATGTATGTAGCGTGTCACACATTCACATACACGGGTGCATGTGTGTGTGCGATTTCGTTTCGAAGCCAGCGCACGAAAATTTTGATTTTTCGAACTTTTCAGATTTGCTACCTTAACGAAATTCGGGTATTCGTTATTGGGTGAAATGACGAAAGAAATTATATTATATTTATACCCGTGCAGATGGTATAATAATTTTGGTCAAAAGTGTGCAACGCAGTGAAGGAGACATCTCCGACCCTATAAAGTATATATATGCTAGATCAGGATCACCTCCTGAGTTGATATTAGCATGTTCGTCTGTCCGTCCGTCCGTCTGTCCATCTGTCCGTGTGTCCGTCCGTCCGTCTGTCCATCTGTCCGTGTGTCCGTCCGTCCGTCTGTCCATCTGTCCGTCTGTCTGTTTCTACACAAACTAGTCTCTTAGTTTTAAAGCTATCGTCTTGAGACTTTGCAGACACCCTTCTTTCCTTTGCACGTAGTATATAAGTCGGAACGGCCGGGATCGGCCGACTATATCCTATAGCTGCCATATAACTGATTGATCGGAAGAGGTTGACACAAGAAATTTGACACAAGAGCTATTTTTGGCAAAATATTACGACATGTCAAATTTCATAAGGATCAGCCAAATTTCATAAGGATCAGCCCACTATATCCTATAGCTGCCATATAACTGATTAATCGGAAATGCTATAACTTTGGTGTTTTTAGAGTTAGAGAGTTCGGATTTTGCAACAATGCTATGTTTGGCAAAATAATACGACCTGCCTAATAAGGCGGATCGGCCGACTATATCCTAAAGCTGCCATATAACTGAACAATCGGAACAAACTTTCGTTTTTTTAAAGATAGAAAGCTTAGTACAGATTCTATTTATGGTCAGTTAATCCGACCTACCAAATTTCATAAGGATCGGTCAACTATATCCTATAGCTGTCATATAACTGAACGATCGGAAATGATATTTTGTAGAAATACCAACTTTGGTATTTTTCAATATAGAAGCTTGGGACTTTTTTTTAATATAATTTTTTTTAATTTTTTATTAATTAATGGAAGTATGTATATAAGGAACTAAAGTATTAAAGGAAATTATTAAATTAACGGCATTAATTTAATAAGATCTTCCAATAAACCGAATAAATAACAAATGCCTGAAAAGTTAGAACTCGCCCCGGAATTTAAGATGGAATCGGACATCGACTACACTACGAGCGTCTCGGAAGAAGTACTCGTTGCGGCAGCTAAAATTTCTACTCCTCACGGGAAAGAACTAGACCGAAACAAATACTTCAAATCTAATCAGCAAATCGAACAGCTTGTGCGAGAAAAGAGGCGCACGCGTCGTGATTAGCAAAAAAGCAGATCACAAGCTTCAAAACAACGCCTTAAGGAAGCAACCCGATCACTCGGCCAGGCTCTTCACCAACAGGAAGAAAATGCACAGCTGAGGTACATCCAGAATCTCTCGCCAACAAGCACAAAGTACCCCCTGTGGAGGGCCCACTCAAATCTTAGCGCCCCAATTGAAACGACCACCCCGATAAGAAACTCTTCGGGATGCTGGGCTCGCAGCGACGAAGACCGAGCTGCAACATTTGCCACACATCTCCATCTCCCATAGCCTAGTGGGTAGTGTAGCTGCACGCTAAGCGTGGGGTCGTGGGTTCGAACCCCACTCATGACAATCATGACCTCCAAAGTTTTTCGGCATCATTATGCTTAGTGGACTCTTTTCCAATGCTACTAAACATGTGATGTCGAAAAACGGTATTCCCAGATATCGACAGGTGGCAGCCCCACCTCTGGGATTGGTCGCACCTGGCTAATCGCCGAATCGACTGAAAAAACAACGATTAACGAAACCAATACAAGAGAAGATACCAACCACCCCCCCAACCCGTGGACGACCATTCGCATATCGAAACGGACACGAATTGGACAAGGGAACGTGAGGACTTAATGAAACCAACCAGACTGGCGCAGTTTAAAGGAGAAATGGAGAAAATGCAGAGAGGGGGTCGCCCAAAGATGCCCTGGCGCCGTACAGCACTCCTAGAAGCAGCCCGGGAAAAACATCAGCTGGAACACGACAAAAACAAATAGCGCCAAAAGTTAGGTGGAGAGCCCTTGTAGAGGCCCTAAGCTCCCGAGAGGAGTAATAAGGAAAAAAAAATTATACCGAAGCCTGGAAAAGACCACACAATTCCGTCATCATACAGACCAATAAACCTTCTATCTTGTTTGTCTAAATTGTTTGAAAAATGCTTGTTAGCTCGCATAATACCACATCTGGAAGCTTGCAATATTATCCCGGCACACCAATTTGGCTTCCGAAGAAACCATGGAACCATCGAACAAGTAAACAGATTAACATCCGAAATCCGCTCAGCCCTTGAACAGCGAGAATACTGCAGCGCTATTTTCCTCGACGTATCTCAAGCTTTCGACCGAGTTTGGCTCATCGGACTCATGCACAAAATTAAAACGTATTTGCCAACAGACACCCACAAGCTACTGGAATCATACCTCTACAATAGGGCATTCTCAGTGAGATGCAACGCAGCTACTTCGGGCGACTACACCATCGAAGCTGGAGTTCCACAAGGAAGCGCACTCGGCCCGTGTCTTTATGTTTTGTATACTGCGGATATTCCTACGAGCGCACAACTTACAATGTCAACGTTCGCCGATGATACCGCTATCCTTAGTCGCTCCAGATGCCCAATGCAGGCAATAACCTAACTGGCTAATCATCTCATAATAGTGGAAAGGTGGCTGTCCGACTGGCGCATTAAAATAAACGAACAAAAGTGTAAAAATATAACGTTTACTCTTAATAGACAAACATGCCCTCCGCTTTTACTCAACGGTATGCAGATCCCTCAAGCTAATGAGGTAACGTACCTTGGTGTCCACCTTGATAGACCTGGCGTAAGCACATCGAATGCAAAAAGATGCACCTAAAACTGAAAGCCAGCAGCCTCCACTGGATCATAAACTCACGATCGCCACTGTGCCTGGACTACAAGTTACTACTGTAAAATTCAGTCCTAAAGCCAATCTGGACGTATGGCTCCCAGCTGTGGGGGAACGCGAGCAGCAGCAACATAGACATCATACAGCGCGCACAATCAAAAATCTTGAGAACTATCACTGAGCTATCAACATACCTTGGTATGTTCGCAACGAAAACATCCACCAGGATGTGGGCATCCTCGCAGTGAAAGACGAAATCCAGGAGCAAAAAGAAAAACTGTCTTCGCACCCAAATTTTCTCGCTCGGGGATTGACTTGGGTTTCTAACGTACCCTGCCTTAGACGCAACGACCTCTCAACCCAGCAATAGATTTTTAGGGCCGTCTAACTCTGTATCAGTCAATATGACTGTTAAATAAGTTAAGAATATAAGATTTGATACACCTCTTGTTAGTCTCGCAAAGAGAAGATTCAAGAAATAAAAGCAACGTTCAATAAAAAAAAAAAAAAAAAAAAACAAAGAAGCTTGGGGCTTTTTTTTTAATTTAATTTTTTTTTATTTTATTTAAATTTTTTTTATTAATTAATGTAAGTATGTATATAAGGAACTAAAGAATTAAAGGAAATTATTAAATTAACGGCATTAATTTAATAAGATCTTCCAATAAACCCAATTAATAACAAGTGCCTGAAAAATTATCAACAAAACAAGAAAGGAAAGATAACTTTGGGAGGATCTGAAGTTGATATACCCTTGCAGTTAAAAGCGGATATATGGCAGCTATAAGATATAGTAAGTTGGATCAACTAGCCAAAAATAGAATCTGTACTTAGTTCCATCTTTCTATCTTCAAAAACTCGAAAGTGTAAAATTGACAACTATAGGATATAGTCGGCCGTTCCGACTTATATACTACGTGCAAAGGAAAGAAGGGTGTCTGCAAAGTCTCAAGACGATAGCTTTAAAACTAAGAGACTAGTTTGTGTAGAAACAGACAGACGGACAGACAGATGGACAGACGGACGGACAGACGGACATGCTAATATCAACTCAGGAGGTGATCCTGATCTAGCATATATATACTTTATAGGGTCGGAGATGTCTCCTTCACTGCGTTGCACACTTTTGACCAAAATTATTATACCATCTGCACGGGTATAAATATAATATAATTTCTTTCGTCATTTTACCCAATAACGAATACCCGAATTTCGTTAAGGTAGCAAATCTGAAAAGTTCGAAAAATCAAAATTTTCGTGCGCTGGCTTCGTGTATGTAAATGCACCCGTGTATGTAAATGTGTGACACGCTACATACATAGATCAATTCAAGCGCAGACCAACCTTCTTCATCGCGCTTCTTTCAGAGAAACAGAAAACATCCAATGAGAATAAGAGCGTAAGATGAACGAACGATGAGCGTAAGATCTCGCTGGGGCCTGTTGGAAGAAATTTTATTCATTTTTTGTTAGTCATTATATGCTATTAAAAATGTACATAATTATACCCTTAAAGAAGATATTATAATTTTGGTCAAAAGTGTGCAACGCAGTGAAGGAGACATCTCCGACCCTATAAAGTATATATATTCTTGATCAGGATCACCTCCTGAGTTGATATAAGCATTTCCGTCTGTCTGTTGCTACGCAAACTAGTCTCTCAGTTTTAAAGCTATCGACTTAAAACTTTAAGTCGGAACGACCGGGATCGGCCGACTATATCCTGAAGCT